AAAAAAAAAAAAAAACTCTATAGATGTAGTATTATACAATCAAAAAGAATTTGGTTCGTATATCTGACACTTATATATACTGCTAAATAATAATTTTTTTTTTTTATTCTTAGGAACAAAGAACATAATTATTATATTAATTTAGCTACGTCAATTATAAGCAACATCATTTTTTTTTTCTTTAAGTAAGTGATTTTACAGGCTAGCTAATAAATAAATAAATAATCATGATTCCTAAGTACAATTAGTGAGGGCTTATCTATTCTAAACAAATATAGTAAATTATTATAAGGTCCATCTCCTATACTCAAACAACTATTAATTGCAATTAGGTGCACTTGGTCCACATTCAAATCTGGACTGGTAATAATTATTAGTTCATTTCCAAAAGATAAATACCACAATAATTTATTAGTATATGGAAGCTATTTATAGCATAACAAAGATAATATAAATAAATAAAAGGCATCAACCAAGCTTTAATGTCACAATAATGCCTAATTAATTTCACGAATTAATTAATTAAATAAACAATGATTGTGACAATCAATATGTACATGTTTTATGATTCTTTTGTTGAATGAGAAAATTCAGACTGTAATACTATTAATTATTATGATTCTTAATAAATTTATTTAATTTAATTTAATGGGAAGATGATGAAAGGATAATGGGAAGGCATGAGGAAAGTCCTCGAAAGAAAGAAATTAAAGCAGATTTTGGCCTCTTTCGTCACAAGTCATTATTGCTTTACGGTTTTGTTATGGAGCTAACGGTTGGCTCTATAGTGGAGTCAACCTTCTGTATACAACAAATAAACTTACCATGTTCTATGATTACTTAAATAACATGCATTAATATATAGAAGATTGTATATAGAAGGTTGACTCCACTATAGAGCCAACTGTTAGTTTCATAGTAAAATCATACTACTTTAGGCTGAAAAAACTGACAGTAAGTAATGTAGGAGTATATGATAATTTGGACAAATATAGAGATGGATGTTGCGGCTGTCATCACACTTTTGACATCTGGCCACCAGGGCTCATGGCAGATTCAACATCCTCTTATGCGTATCAGAGACACCCTTCGCTCGATCCATTACCAGGTCTCTCATATTTTCCGGTAGGGGAACCGGCCTGCCGATTTCCTTGCTAGCACGGGGGCATCTATACCCCAGAGACGCACCCTCCTTCCTGAGGACATTCTCCTCCAGCTTCGGACGCTCATTCGGATGGACCAATTAGAGTACTCATCCTTCAGATTCGGTCGACCGCCACCTCCTGTCCCTGACTAGATTCGGCCGACCTCTTATGAGGATATGATAATTTGGACAATAATAATTAAATGACGTGAAATAAAATAAAATAAAATACTAAAAGCCATCAGAATTGAAAGAGAAAAAAAAATGGTGAAAGTGCTTTGAATTTGCAGTACTGACACGTTTGTCTTAATTGCACCTATATTTTATCAACCAGCAATACTCCAACAACATATTATGATAAATTTTAATGTCGTGACCCCAAGGTTTTTAGATTCCTCAAAAATCAATGCTCAATATTTTATAATAAAATATACTATATGTTAAAAAATATCTACAATGCTTAATATGTTGACAAACAATAACCTTATTGTATAGAGAATATTTTTTTAACGCGTCTACAAATTTTGAAAAATTAAACATGACTCAGATTTATATTGGGCTGGTCAAAAATGCATTTTTAGACCTTTTGGTTTACCACCATAACAATTATAGTATCAAAGTTTCAATTTTTCGCCTTTTTTAACAATTTATTACAATTTTAGTCCTAAACAATCTAAAATATATTAAAATATTAAATCAAATGATGAAAAGGTGAAATGTTAGAATCTTGGAACTAAAATTGTTATGACGATGAAGTAGCAGGACTAAAAATGCAATTTATCCTATTAGTTTATTTCATAATTTGCTTTGCCAAAACTATTTGTTGTACAACACGACATAATTATAGTTAAACGGGTCGATTCGTAACTGTTAAAACTGAATAACAATAGTCGTATATTGAGTGATTCATATTCCGAAAAAGAAAATATGATTAACGTTTAGTTGACATAAACGTTGCCAAAATATATTAATAAATGATAGATATCTGAAAAAATCCTATAATTAACTTATGTTTAAATTTCAATCACTAAATATTGCTCATATAATTAGTTAGAATTCAAATTTAAAATGACAATCACTCTCAAAATTTTATTAATTGTGGACGACATTTAAGTGCCATTAAAATCATGATAGTCCCCAATAGGGACGTGGTCCTCGTTATTAATATTCAATTAGCAAAAAAAAAGTAGCTAACAAAATTTTGGCCAAATAACACGACAATTTTGGGTGACCATAATAATCCGTTGCCTATATTTCGTGGCACAAAGGCAATCAATGCCTACAATTGATTTGACTACATAAATTGATAACTCATTTATTTATGAAAATAAACCCATAAACAAAGACCAAAAATACATCAACATCATCATCAACATCAACATACCCAGTATATTCCCAAACAGGTTGGGGTCTGAGGGGTCAGTTGTACGTAGACCTTACCCTTGTAATTATACAAGGAGGCTGTTTCCATAGCGACCCAAGGTGCGTTGCGTCGTTTGATATATTTTTTCTACAAACTTCACTAATAGAAGAAGCACTAGAATTTAATTGAGCCATTTTGATATAGTCCATTATTTGCACGATGCCAGAAGAATTGTCAACATTGACTCTTCCAGCTCCATTTGCAATGGACTCAAACAAAGACCAAAAATACAAAAAAAAAATAAATATATATATATATATATATATATATATATAATATAATAAAATAAAATAAGAGGAATAGTTATCAATCAATCAAATTATTTATTTAGTCCATAGAAGAAATTATTATTTTTGCTTTAAAGGTTGGATAAGTCACAAGGCAAACAAAGGGGTTGAGTTGATGAGGGGACAAAGGATTTGAAGTTGGTCCGTATGACTCTAAATATGAGTTGCTTTCTCACATGGCCCTGAAAAGTTAGAGTTAGAAAAATCAAATGAAATGAAATAAAAAGTCGTGGTCCTAGGCTATATGTGACATTTTAATTGCATATCTTTGAAGAAAAACTACCAAAATTTATTATGCTTTTTTTCAGTATCCCACCTGCTTCTGTGTGTTGTCAACTATCATACAACCAACACACAGGCTATAATTTATTATTATTATTATTATTATTGGTAGTAGAATAGTATAATTTTGAAAGACACACAAAAATAATAAAAGTAGAAATAGTTTGTATTTGCTGGTATTTACAAATTTAAATAATTTATTTTTATGGTAATTTTAGAATCATATGCAAAGTGAATAAGGGAGATCCCATTTTATTGTATGCTAATTAAAGAAGTAGATGGCAATATGATTTTGAATTGATATAAACCAATTGTGTTTTTTTTTTAGGAAAATCTCTATACAAAATTAATTTACAGAACTCATTGACTCAAACTTTTATGAAAGAAACAAGTATAGTAGTATTAATTTTTTTATTTTTTTTTAAGAAAAAGAATCATTAATAAGCACAGACCCTCATGCCAATGGACAACAATGTAAATTAAATTATGGCCTCAATCAATTCAAACACATACTCCAATTGGTGCTCATATGTGAACGGACAAATTGCAAAAGGACCATAAAGTAAATACTAAAAGTGGTGATTCCCATTACTCACTACCTTCCTAAAGTTGACAAATCTAACCCACTATTAAGGAAAATTGATTTTAAAATAAAATAAACTACTGTGTTCATTTGACATGTTTCTGCCACAAACAGATTTTTTTTTTTTAAAAAAA